TTTATGCATTCCATTTCATTTTTGACAACTTCCAATTTTCCCAGATTCATACTTCATACATTCCATGTTCTGATTTTCAATGGATGTTTACAGCGGTTTCTCTTCATTTTGAGCTGTGCCTCATGAGTAAATGAAGGTCTCGCGGGCTTTACTCCATTCGCATCATTAGGTTCAACTCTACTTTGAGGAGTCAGCTCTTCCCCAGTTACATTTTCAGTGCCTTCCAACTTGAGGTGCTCATTTTCTGGCACTGTATCTGACAGTGTTTCTCTGCTATTCATAGGGTTTTCAGTGACTAAATATTCGGAAGTAGTTCGTGACTCCTTCTTCCTAGTTTATCTTCGTCTGGAAGCTCATGAGAAACCTGTCCACCACGGGTGACCCTGCTGGTATTTAAAATACCAGTGGCATAGCTTTCAGAATCACAGCAACTCACAAGCCACCACACTACGACAAACTGACAGAGGAGTGGTGGCCTGAAGTATTAGGTTGGTCAAAAAAGTTGCTGAGAACAGAGAAAGATGCTGAAGAGGTAGAAGTAGGGCTCTGGTCCTGGAGGCTTTCCCGGTTCTTAACATCCTATTTGCAATCTGAACTGAGTCCCATTGAACTGAGCTCCATAGAACTTGGACCCAAAATGAGCCTCCCTCCTTTCTACATACCCGGGAAAGCAGGGGTGTGTGTGTGTGTGTGCATGTAGACAGTGTCCACCAGGCGGAATACCTCATAAGATAGCGCACGTGACCAAGGCTGACTGAGGAGTCTTGGTAGTCATGGTGCATTGGAAAGCATGTGGCTAGGAGTCCTGGTGTGGCACCGTAGAAGAACACTGGGACTACAAGGTCAGTTTAAACGTGCAAGGTTGGTGGTTCAAACTCACCAGCTGCTCCTCAGAAACCCTGTACAGGGTTGCTATAAGTTGGAAATGACTTGACGGCACTTAACAACAACAGGGTCTTACCAGGTCCCTGGGCAGCACAAAGGGTTTACACATGATTACTAACCTAAAAGTTGGTGGTTCATACCCACCCAACAGTGCTGTGGAAGTAAAGCCTGGCAATCTGCTTCTATAATAGAGCCAAAAAAACACAACGGGACAGTTCTACTCATAATGAGTCAGAACTGACTCAATAGTGAAAGTCTGAGTTTTCCAGGATGGAGGCATCAGGAGTGGCTGATGGTCTAGGGGTCACTGGTGGTGGTTATGTGTCGTGGAGTCGGTTCTGACTCATAGAGACCCTGAACAGGGGTTCTGAGGCTGTAAATGTTTACAGGAGCAGAAAGTCTCATCTGGAACAGCTGGTAGTTTCCAACTGCTGACCTTGAGGTTTGCAGACCGATTTGTAATCACTACACTACCAGAGCAGGGATCACTAGAACTACTGAAAGTACTTTCCCCTTGCCAGTAAGGCTTGGACCTCTCTAGGTCACCATCTGGAGCCATGGAGGTACAGGTGTGCTTAGGTCAAAGTCTGACCCTAATGGGAGACAGAGGGAATAGATATCCCCTCTAGTGTCTGTTTATACAGAGAATATATAGTAACACATAGACAGTATGAGTATAAAATATACTGTGAGGCATTGTAGGATAAGCACTTGATGGCTAACCACAAGGCCAGCAGTTCAAACCCACCAGCTGCTCCTCGGAAACCCTAAACAGGGTCGCTGAGTTGGAATTGACTTGATGATACTTAACAACAACAATATATTATATGGAGAGTGTGGTGGCTCTACAGGATAAGCACTGGACTGTGAACCACAAAGTCAATGGTTCGAGGCCACCAGCTGCTCTGCAGAAGAAAGATAAAGCTTTCTGCTATCCAGGGTCGCTATGAGTTGGAAGTGTCTTGATGACACTTAACAACATTAACAACATATATAATGATATGTTAATTTGAGTATATGTTAATATATATAAACACAGAATCATCCTTCTTTTGTGTATGATGTAAAGGCTATTAGAATATGTTGCCTGATACTGTTTATCGGATAGTGGTTTGCTCCCAAGGTTTCATCTTCATTTTTATATGAGTCCTACCAGTGAAGTCCTTTATGAAAGACCATGGGACTTCGTTGGTGGACTTGGGAGAGAGTCCTGGGCTAAGAGGTGAGAGCCAATCCAGGACAGGAGCTTTGGGCCTTTCTGCCCTCAGGGGTGGTGGTACTGAAGAGACAAAATGTCATCATGGTGAAATACATGATGTGTCTATAAACGGGCATGCAGATTCAAATTGTTTCATTGTAGAGTCCCCTTCCAATCAGAGGCCCCAGGCATCATACTCAAAGTCCCACAGGTATATTAACTGTGCCTGACAAACACGGGCCGTGGAGTGGTGTGGGTGCCAGAAGTCACAGCCACAACCCTCTGAGCTATCATTGGGGTGAACAGCCCTGTCTTGTTCCATTAGGACAAGAAGGGGATCTGAACCCCACTCAGACCTGAGCATAGAAGGCCCTTAGGGGCTTTCTGTGAGACCCTAGACAGTCCCCAGTGGAGTTTTCCTTCTAGGAAACTAGAACTGACTATACCCGATACTCACCCAATTGCAAACATTTCTTTTACTTTCAAAATCCATGCACATTTTCCATGCTACCCGTGAAATCACCAATGGCATGGCAGAAAATGTATTACTTATAATGACTAGGCTTTTTCTCCCGAACTGTCATGTACAAGACAACCTATCCTGAGCCACCGCTGTGTGTCTCCCCCAGTCCCAAAGGAGAGGCCAGAGTCTTGGCTAACTAGTCTCTTCTGGGGATGGAAGAGTCCATCCAGCCCTGTCCTCATGCCTACCCCAGGCTGATGACCTCACCAATGACCCGGGAAGCCAGGGGGACACAGGCATGTAACACGCCCCCCTGTCTCCTGGGCACAGGACCTGGTGGGGCCACAGCCCTAGGAGAGAGATTGTTCATCAAGAACTGAGTCACCCTGGGTAAGCTCATGATCGGGGCACGAGGTCCCCCAGGGTCCATGAGGCCGGCTTGGGGACTCTGTCCCACCTGGTCACCTGCCTCATAGCAGCTGGGGATCTCTCTCTGACTGTAGAAGCCCTCTCAGTTCAAAGTCACCAAGTCTAGTACCTGGGATTAGAGCGGGTCTGACCCTCGTATATGCTGAGGTGAAAAAAAGCAATCATGGTAAGTAATACGGAGTTGTCACATAGCAGCATCTGTGGGGTGGGACACAAGACCTAAAGTCAGGACACTGTCTACACTAACTACACTCGAGAGTTCTGTAAGTTGTGCAGGGTTTGACCCTACACCCATTCCCACAGCCATTAAGCCATTTCTTACTCTTAATGACCCTATGGTCAGAGTAAAATTGTTCCGTAGGGTTTCTGAGACTGTAAATGTTTATGGGAGCAGACAGTCTCATAGGTCTCCCATGGAGTGGCTGATGGGTTTGAACCACCGACCTTGAGGTTAGCAGTGCAATGCTTATCCCAGTGTGCCACCAGGGCTCCTTTAACCCTACTCATACACAGACTATATTTGGGCATAAACGTCATCAGCAGATTCATTCTCTCGTCTCACACGCCCTCTGGATGGCTGAGTGGACGTTCTAGTACTATTCCTGGTGGTGCTGTGGATGAAATACTGGGCTGCTAACTAAACATCGACAGTTCAAACCAGGCAGTGTGCTTCGGAAAGACCGACAGCGTCAGAAATCCCAGCAGTAGTTCTGCTCGGACTAGTGGGGTTGCTATGAGTGGGAATTGACTCGGTGGTGGTGAGTGAATGGCTAACGGTTATTCTACAGAGTCCAACTTTTTGTCTCCCGGGGCCAGGCACAGAGAGAGGCACACACCTGAAGATGCTCGTGTGCTACAACTCCACTGTACTAACAACAACCACTAATCCTGGTTAGTGTACACTGTGTGCAGAGTATGAGCTGAGCACACGTTTTACACACATTTAAAAAAACTCCCATTAAGCTAATTCTGACTCATGGTGCCCCCATGTGTTACAGAACCATACGGTCAGGGTTGTGACTTCAGAAACAGATCACCAGGCCTTTATTTCGAGGCATCTCTGGGTGACTTTGAACTTCCAACCTTTCAGTTAGTAGCTGAGTGCTTAACTGGTTGTGCCATCGAGGGATTGGTGTTGCGATAAGCAACGCAACCATAGGATAAGCACGCAACCGTAAGGTCAGTTTGAATAGCAAGCTCGGGGGTTCAAATTCACCCACTGCTCCTTGGAAACCCTAATCAGGGTCGCTATGGGTCGGACTCGACTGCCCGGCACTTAACAACAACAACGACATGTATTTAATCTTCTCTTGTGCCGTTCCCACTTTACAGATGAGGCTCAGAGAGATGAAAATAGCTGCCAGCCAATGGTGATGGAATTGGTAAACAGGCAGTGCCCGGAACCTTGGTTGGGTCTGCCTCCTACAGTGTTACACGCCTGCCCTCTGAACCACCCAAGCACATTGAAAGTTGCCCCGATTCACCTGTCTCTCTGTGAGAAGTTGGCACGGCAGCATCTATTAGGTGGGTGGCTGTTTCAGTTTTGGGGGTTTCTTCTCCTGAGCGCAAGGGACCCGAAGACTGGACTTCCAGGTGTAGTTCTGCAGAATGCTGTGTCTGCTGGGCCCACTCAGCCTCTGGGACGCTGGTGCTGATGACAACATTCAGTCCTGACGTGTGACCAGACAGGTCTCCGCTGGTTTCAGTTCTGTCTCCTGAAGTTGGGAGTGGAGCCCAAGACAAGCCTGAGGTGCGAGTGTCCAGTTCATAGGGTGAAGTTGGCTCTCCACTCACTTCTGGGGTGGCTGACCCCTCACTGGGGCTTTCCTGGGAAGTAGATGGGCTGCGGCTCCCACCCAGGATGGACGTAGTTCCATTCAGAGCCGGGGACAGGGAAGTTTTCCCGCTGCCCTCGGGGGTAGCAGTCACGCCAGCCTCAGATGTCTCACTGCTGGATTGTGGAGCAGATGACGTTTCTACCCCAGACTTGGGGAAAGTTGGTGTAACTCCACTAATGTCCCCAGATGCCAAGACTTCCCCGCTGAACTCAAAAACCTGGGAGTGTGTCTCAGGAGGTCTTTGGCTGAATTCCTGGGAAAGACTTGGCTCTGTGGTACCCATCACAAAACCAGAAGTGAATGAAGTAACTTCTGGAAGTTGTGAGGCTTCCCCAGTGATGCCTATGGCTGTAGAAGGTTCTCCGCTTACATCGGTGTTCCTGGAAAAGTCTCCACTAAAATGTGGAGTGCTCGGAGGGTTCCCACTGGACTCTCCAAGCCCGGATTGTGGCCCACTTAGGCCATCCAAAAACCCAGAATGGCCTCCAGACATGTCTGGTGCTCCAGAATGGGTACCGCTGAATTCCAAAGTGCCCGAGGCCCCTTCTGCTTCCTGGGCTGTAGGGGCCTGGGTTACAGATTCTACCAGAGTTCTGTCTATGAGAGAGATGGTGGGGAAAACAGATGGAAGTCCACTGCCTTCATATGCCCCTGAAGGCAGGCTGCTCCCAACCTCAACTCCAGAAGATTCTCCACTGGCTTCATCTATTCCACTTGGCAGGCCACTGGATTCTGGAGCCTGGGATGGAAATCCACTGGAGTCGATTTCTCCAGAAGATTGTTCACTGATCTGCCCCATTCCAGTTGTCCCAGACATATCTGCCTCCCCAGAAGGAAGGCCACTGACTTCCACGGATCCTAAACCTTCTTCTTCTTTAAACGTAGTAGGGGTCATTTCTACGAAACTAGTGTCCACAAATGTAATGCCAGAAGAGTCACCACTGCCACTCACAGCACCAGAAATCAGATCAGGGATTCCAGATGTTGACCCACCGAACCCTGGCAACCCTGTTGGCTGCCCACTGAGATCAGGGACCCCAGATGTTTCTCCACTTAGGTCAGTTACTGGTTGACCACTGCCCCAGACAACTCCAGATCCTTCTCCACTGACATCTGGTTGTCCAGAGAACAGTCCACTATGATCAGTCACTCCAGATGTTTCACCACTGGTGCCAGGAAACCCTGATGGCTGCTCAGTCACCTCAGAAAACCCAGATGTTTCCCCACTGAAGTCAGGAAAGCCAGATGGTTGCCCACCAACACCCAAGACTCCAGATGTGTCCCCGCTGATGTCAGGAGAACCAGATGCCTGGCCACTGAGTTCAGTTCCTAAAGGTAGTCCACTAGTTCCACCACTAATGTCTAACTCATCGAACGGCAGCCCAGATGTTTCTCCAGCACCACTGATTCCGATGGTTCCTTTCCCTTCGAGTCCCCCTGAAGTGGTGGCCGTGACCATTTCCACCAATGTAGTATTCACTAGGGAGATAGTTGGGAACCCAAATGGAAGGCCACTAAAGTCAGGTAGGCCAGACAATGTGCCACTTCCCAGCTCCCCACCAGAATATTCACCACTTGCCTCTGGAGCTTGCCCACTTCCTAGAGTTCCAAAGTCCACAGGTCCAGAAGCAGATCCCACCAAACCTTTCTTTCCAGAAGGCAACCCACTAAAATCCTCAGCTCCGGAAGCAGAGGTCTCTATGCCTTTTCTTCCAGAAGTAAATCCACTGAGGTCCCCTACTCCAGAAGCAGAAGTCTCTATACCTTCTGTTCCAGAAGAAAGTTCACTGAGGTCTCCTATTCCAGAAGCAGAAGTCTCTATACCTTCTGTTCCAG